GATCCCGCCGAGAGAGAAGCCTGTGGCGGTCACATACTTAGAGCGCACTGTCGCTCGGAGTCAGTGCATGTATGACAGCATCTTCAACAGTGCGCATATGCGGCTTTGGTACACGACAAGAATCTGCCATGTACAGCACTAGCCTCGCGCATAAGCATCCCGCGACCGCGACATGAGTGGGCTACAAGTCTCTATTTGAGATGCGGCGTGGGAAGAAGATAGACAGACTTGATATCGCGTTTCAGCTCGAACTCAAAGTAGCCAGCATGGAAGAGGTCAAAATTCTCAGAAACGGCACAGTGGCAGCTCGCGATCCCTGCCGCACCCGGGGTTTCCTGCAAACACCGCCTAGGCGAGCAAGTCAAAGTCGCGAGTAGCACGCAGGCCGGTACAGGAGAAAGATGTGTGTGTACATTGCGATCCTTAGCCCGGCTTGCGGGCCTGCTCCCATGGCCTGCAAGTATATTTCAAATCCCTTGTGCAGTCAGCGCCTATTGCCATCAGGCGTTGGGCGCTGGTCTTCTTCAGTTCACCGCCATCGCACGGCGTCGAGAGTTGACACTAGAGCCTAGCTCTGCCTCGCTCCTGAGTGCAGGGATGTACGAGAAGTGGAGGACAGAAGAAATGGCGTTGGAATGCAAGATGAAGGCAAGATGCAAGTCGGGCACAACTTCGGGAGACGCTTCGGGAGACGCTGATCGGCGAAGTTTATATGTCGGCCCGAACGGCCGAGCGTGTAGCGTCTCCGTGGCGCGTTCGTCCAGACGCTGTCCTTCTCCTCGACCAGCCGGTTATATCCTTGCGTACTCCTCTGGCTATATCTTATACGTGTCGTTCAACGACCCCTCAGCCGTGAGGATGCTTGCCAGGGTTCTGGTTCGTGGTCATGCGTGCACAGGCAACTCCAGGTGTGTGTCGCGAACATGTTCGCGCGAGTTCCAACCTAAAGATGCTATGATAGGTTACTGGCACGTACCGTCTCCAAGACCTATCACCAGGTAAGCATCCGTGTTGTTACTCGATGCGGACGGGCTGTGTCGGCTGAACTGCCAGCGCGACGCCATACAGCGCGGTTGGCTAGCTGTGGCTCCGGGCACTTCTCAGCAACCATTTCCCGACTATATATTACTCGACTTTATGGGCGGACCTTCTAACTGACATACTACTTCAGCGCACAAATCTTACTGCTAGGCCTGCAGTGCTCGTGGGTGTTTATGGCACCCGAAACCTCAGCCTATGGCCGTCGTCATCAAAAGCACCGGACGCGACTTCCACGCCGGCGCCTATACCTGCAGAGCCAGCACCAGTACCTGCAGTACCAGAACCCGTCGCGGCTGCCTCTTCCACACCATTACCTCCCTCCATCGAGACTCCACCGCCAACACTCGTCGACGCCGCCTCGGTCATCCCCGACATCCCCCACCAACTTGGCGACTGCGCCGCCGCCGGCCTCACATCAATGGGCTTCCTCTCCTGGCCCGCCGGCCTCTCCGTCATGCTACTCGAATACATAAACGTCTCCACCGGCCTATCCTGGTTCTCAACCATCATAGCCGGCACAGTCGTCTCCCGCCTTCTCGTCGCGCCCTTCGCCATAACCCAACAACGCAACACCGCCCGCCTCGCGCCCTTCCAGCCCGAGCTCGTCGCGCTCAAAAACCAGATGTCCGAGGCGCAGGCGAAGGGCGATCAAGAGGGCGTGCGTCAGGGCGTGTTGGCGCAGAAGGCCGTGTACGATAAAGCTGGTGTGGGGCTGGGGAGCATGTTCCTGCTGCCGTTCGTGCAGCTGCCGGTGTCGCTGGGGATGTTCTTTGGCGTGAGGAGGTTGATGGACTCGGAACTGGCGAGCGTGCATGTTAGCGGGATCACGGATCTCGTGCCGTTTTGGACGGATTTGAGCGTCGCGGATCCGTATTATATCGTGCCGCTGGCGTCGACGGTGCTGATGAACCTAGCGCTGCAGGTGTGTATTTCTCATACGCCGCTATGAAATGATGCTAATTGTGTGTTTGTCGATAGGTGTTCTCGAAGGACTGGGGAGCGACGGCTGACCGCAAGACAGTCGGACTCATGCTCCTCGCATTCCGCGGCCTGTCCATCGTCTCCTTGCCCGTAACCGCCCAGTTCAGTCTGGTAAACTCTTCAATTCCCTTCCGTGCTTACATCGTCATTGTCTGACTTGTACCTTGCGAATAGGGTCTGAACGTGCACATCATCACCGGCTCGCTCCTCATGGCCACACAAACGCTCATCCTGCGCTCATCTCCAGTGCGCAAAATGCTCGGCATCCCGCCCCTGCCACCGCGCGACGCCAACTGGACGACACCCAGCACGAGGGAGTGCATCGGGTACGCGAAGGAGTGGGTCGCCGACCAGCAGAAGGCCGCAGAGGCGAAGGCGGAGGCGGCGAGGAAGCCGAGGGAGCTGGAAGAGCTGCCCGAGGCGGACCACAACAAGGGACGACAGCCGCCGCAGAAATGGTGATCGTACCGGGGCGTGTTTGATATCCGATACACTATGCTCGATATAATATATTCGTTATTGTGCGCAAGTGGAATGACTTGTTAAGAACGTTGCTTCTGGTGCTCAACAAAAGGCAATAAGGTACGAGAGAGAGAGCATCAATCAAAAAGGGGAAGAAAGAATCTTATGCTTATCGTACGAAACTGGTATGAAGCATACACGCGTACACGACTCGTCGCCTAATGCCGTGCCAAACGCGACGACGGGACCGGAAAAGTCTCAGCCCGGCGCGGTGCCTTCAGAGACGCACTCGAGCGGCTCTTTCTCAAACTCTTGGATGCGTCGTGGCATGAGCGGGGTACCGCATACGAAAGAGTCGAAGTGCTTCGTGTCGGTCGATCGGCGTAGGGATGCGGGTGGAGAGGCAAGTCACTCTTTGTCGGCGAAACAGAGACGGCTAGCGGGCCCTTGAGCGAGCGCTGCGATGCTCGAGAGGACGACCGGCGTGTCCTACGCAGTGACGAGGTCCGGACAGGCCCGGCGCGCTTCTGCGTACTCGATGCAACATCGTACTCGGCATCAGTCGGAAATGAGATATCCTGAGGAGAGCGTGACGACGCCCTGGGGGTGCTGTCGCTCGAAACGGGATGTTGCACCTCGGTCACCGCTTTGGTAGTCGGAGACCGGAGTGCGGTGGCGTGTTTGCCGTGAGAATTTCCTGAAGGGAGTGGCGACGCAGGATCCTCGATCGCTTCAGTAGTCGCCGTCGAAGGTGATTCAGGATCGGGAACTTCGTCGTCAACCTCTACTCGCGCCTCTGAAGCACTTGTCACCACCGCTCCCTCGTCGGCTCGTTCAGCCGATGCGCTGCCCGACAATCCCGCCCTTTCTCCAACTACTGTGGAGCATGCTTCTGTCGAAGGCTTTGTAGCGGCGATGCCGGTCTGCAGATCTTCGAAATGCCAACGTAACCTGCCAGAGGTGTGAGCACAGACACATATCACTCGACGAAGAGATAACCCACTTGTTGAGCATATCACACTCCTTCATGAACAATTCGGGGTCCCTAACATCCGTCACCATATCCAGGTCGAACCAGATATTGACCACGGGCCAATTCTTGAAGTCGCCGCCAAACATCGATGACGCGACCAGGGCATGAAGAGAAGTGTTTGAAGCCAGATCGGAGAGCGACTTGGTCGCTGATGCGGCCTCCGTATCAAGGAGACCATCATCGCAACCATCCAAACGGGACACAGCGGGCGTGGGCGGTAAGAATGCCAGCGGGTCCGATGATGGCTCCGGGCTCGGAGAGAGCGGCATGCGAGCGAGTGCCTCGGTATCTCCCCGTTTGCGCCGGTCATAGAAGTCGGCACGGGAGAAATTGTCTCGTTCGATTATACCGTACACCTTGGCGGCAATGCGATGAGAGGGCAAGCAAAGTAAGGGGCTGTAGTCGCGCTTCGCGGTCGTGACACGGCAACTCGTCGTGGTGAACGTAGAGATGTAGCAGCCCGGCCACGGAAAGGGGGCCACGGCTTCCAGAGGCTGACGCCCGCCATAAAGTTCCGAGTTGGGGAGGATTGGAATGCACGCAGGGGTGGATTCGCAGAAAGCGGAGGTGGGAGGCACGCCTCGGCATATGAGCGAGAGTGCAAATGGGTTGGTGGCGTTTCCTTCGTAAGATATGGAGTGAGGCTGCCTGATGTTTCAGAGATCATAGGAAGAAGACGCAGTATACGGGCTCACCGAGCCAATATATGCGACGTAGCGTTCGGACGGGATGCGTTTCGCAGCCGTTCTAGCTTCTGGGCCGAGGTGCGCGACTGAGGCGACATGGTCGATGCTTACGACACAAAAGTCGCCAGCAAAGGGCATCTGACTGTGGGCATAGTTCCTGCGGACACTGATAGGATCATCGATATATTTGAACTTCGGGACTGGGGTTCGAGGACGAGAAGGTGGAGGTGCAAGACCAAACTTGAACATGACGTTGACGCGGGGATAGTAGTGTCGGACGGGCTTCGCGGTCCGATCATATTACAAGACTTATATTGGCCCTGAGGCGCTTTGAAAGCGCCTTGTTCAGCGCCATCACCTTCTAGTTTGCGTGCCTAGCCGTACACATAGAACAAAAGCGTCGCCCTTGTTATATTGTCACGTACTGCGTGTACAGCTACTGGCCTTGTGCCCGGATCAGGCTCATCGCGCTCATCTTTTGTTTCACTGTCTCAAAGGATTCGTCGCTTGCGGTCTCAGAACGATCTAGCTAATTGAGTCGATCCTATTTGTTCTCGTGTAGTGACGGATGTGCTACCTGCCTCATCTCTACGCTACCACCGCGGGTGGTAACGCGCATCCAACTCTCCTACGCATGGTCATGTCGGCTTTGGCCCACCGGGTCACCCGAACTCGCCAACTTCAAGTTCGCCTACGCTGATCTCCTACTCGAGCTAAATATCGACGACGTGATAACCAACTTCTCAGCTCGCGCTAGGTTTGCGCGACACAACAAGATACATAGGCGTAAACAGCCTCGTCCTCCCGCCCTCCACCAACGCCTCAGCAGCAACCATAAGCGCCTCACTAACCCCCGTCGTCCCCCTCGGCGCCAGCCCGACCATCTCCGCCAACCAAGTGACCGTATGCGTAATGAGCTTGCCCGTCCTGCTCAACCGCCAAACGGTAAACAAGTCCCACGTCGTCTGCGCCTTGCGGAGGTCGCCCTCGAGGGGGTAGTACCACGGCACCTCGTCGTCGCGCGCGGCTAGGTCTTCTTCGTGTTCGATCTCGAATCCGACGGAGCGGATGGCGGAGCGGACGGAGGAGAGGGGCCGCATCTCGGGGATGCCGTCGCCGAGCTCGATGCGGTGCGCGAGGTCTTTGTGCGCGGGAATAGTCGGGTCCCAGGCGTCTGTCATGGCCCATTCGTATACGCCAAACTGTGTGTACAGTTAAGACTATGATGACTAGAGACGTGGTAAAGAGAGCTCACGACGCCTCCTGGCTTGAGAACCTTCATGATCTCGCCATACACTCCCTCAAGCGACGGCGCATGAACAGTCGCTTCGATAGCATACACTATCCCACCATAAGCACCCGCCCAAGCACCACATACACATGCTCAACCACCCACCAGCATCAAACGACCCCTCCCCAAAAATCTCCGCAAGCCTCATAAAATCCCCCCTCACAAACCGCACCCTGCCCTCCGCGTCCAGCCCCACATCCCGCGTATACCTCCTCGCCCTTCCCACCTGAAACGCATTATTGTTGACCCCCACAACCGTCACGTCCGCAAAGTTCGCGATCTGGCGCGCGGGCCCGCCGACGCCGCACCCGACGTCCAGCACGCGCATGCCCGGGCGGAGGCTCATTTGGGCTGCGAGGTAGTGCTCGTGCCGCGCGAGGGCGGCGTCGAACGCTTCGCCCGCGTAGAAGCGGGAGAAGTGGAAGGATTTGGCCCAGCCCCATTCGTAGAGCTCTGTTGCGCCGTCGTAGTAGCCTGTGTGGGTGTTATGAGTATGGAAGGGGGGAGAGGGTGCGAGGTGGAAGGCGTACCGTTGACGACGTCGGTGTACGACTCGTTGCGGGCTTCGTGGTCCGCGCCTGTTTCTTTCGCAGAGTCCTTCTTCCAGTGCGCGGTATACGCCTCAAGACGTGCGCGTTGACGGCCATCTTTCATCGTAGTAGACATCTTGGGCTGAGGTCTGAGCAAGAAAGTCAGTGTCAGGGAACACCGAAGTGAACGAAGGCACTCACTGGATAGTGGCGATGGTGAAGCTATCCACTATAAAAGCTGTATGATGTTGGATGCTAGGTCGGACAACATACTTATAACAACGAGCAAGGGATACAACCCGAATAAGGGGATCAAAAGTCGCGCGACTTGGCTCAGGTCTGCGCACGGCGCGGGATCCGTCTCGCGGCCTGGTACCTTGGTGCCACACGGGCCCTGCGATCGGTCGCGCCACGGCCCACCAGCCGTGTCTGTCCGTATCTCGAGTGCACTTATGATGAAGGAATATTATTTGATGATCCGTAGACATCGAGGTTTATTGCACATGTGATGAACAGTCGAACTTCGAAGCTCGCCGTATGAGCATTTCCGCGTCATCCGCTAGGTAGCAGTATATGCCTGCGAGATCGTGTATACAACGCATCAAGCCTGCGACGATACTGCGTCGTAGACCAGTGAAGTGTACAGGATCTACAAGCACTCTGTGAAGGACGTCAGCTCTCCGAGCAGAAATACGCAGTACGGCGCACATACTCCTATGAACAATCGCACCCCCAACCTCCTCCCACTCCCCCCTCCCCACCCACATCCCCGCAAAAGTCGACAAGCTCCCCAAAATCGACCCCCCGATCCACGCCGCGTACTTCCGCTCAGGCCTCTCCACGACCTTAACACCCACACCCCCCGGCGCGAGCGCAGACAGCTCTTTGTGCATCCGATCGGCGAGGCCGGCGAACATGGTCGTGCCGCCGCAGAGGGCGATGTTCTTGTAGAGAAAGCGGTGGAGGTCCGGGTCGCATTTAGCGATTGAGTTGTGGATCGTTTGGGGCGCGCCGGGGGATGAGAGGCCGATGAGGGAGGGGTTGAAGAGGGCTTCGGGTGCTTTGAACCTGGATCAAACCATATGAGCGTATGGACTACGAAAGGTTGTGGATTACGACGTACCGCTCATGTCGAACATCCAAAACCTTCCCATCCGGCAGCTCATAGCTCAACTCGCGACCCGGATGATACACCGCCGTCCTTACTTCCTCATCAAAGTCCAACGCAACATAGCCCAACTTCTCCTTCACCTCCCTAACGATCTCCCTCGCATCCGGACTCGCGACCTCGTACCCGCGCTCAGCCAACCCCTTACAAAGCGCGTCCGTAACATGCCGCCCGCCCACATCGACTCCCACAGTAGCGTGCGTGATCGCGAGGCCCTCGTATACAGGTACGACATGCGCCACCTCGTACCCCGCGTCAAACACGACGCCCGTCGTCCGCGCCGACGCGGCGTACAGCGCGAGCACGGCCTGGTTCGCGGCGTAGTACGCCGGCGCGCCGAGCGATTCGAACATGATCTGCGCGGCCGTCTCGCGGTGCGATGCGGGCGTGAGCGGGGGCTCGGCGAGGAGGATGGGGTGCTCTGTTGCGTGGGCGCGGAGCGAGGTGTGGAGGGTGTGGTGCCAGAGGGTTTCGAGGGAGTCCCAGTCGGTTGGGAGGCGGCGGTGGACGGGGTGGGTGAGGGTGAGGGTGTTGTGGTTGGATTGGGCTTCGTCGCTGGGTGGTATAGTTAGTGACACTTCAAACCCAGACAAGATTGGTTGGGATGAGATCACAGAGCGGATAAGTCGTACAGTAGAGCGGTGAAGCTTACCCGATGTAGAATTTGTTCAGATCGTTCTCTTGGTCTCCCGACGGCCGTCCTACAACAGTCCTGTGAAATATGTCTCAACGAGGTAATCTGAGAGATATGAGATAGACTCACGGAAAACAGACCCGAGGAGCATCTTCGCCTAAGATATTTCAAGCTCTGCGTCTACTTTCTAGACTGGGTATCCTACCAGCAACTTCATCGCATACTGTCAGTTATGCATAGCGACTGAGGCGAAGGGAACTTACAGCCGGCCTTGCACATATATGAGCCAGTGTCGATGACCTATAGATGATATACCATGTATGAAGATACGAATGAGAATGGTCGCGCGTACGGACGCACGAGAGCTACAGCATCCTCCATAGCTCAAGCGCGTCTAGTGCCCTGAAGGTGAGAGTTGATATGAATGTAGCCGCGATGATATGCGATGCACGAGCTCAATGACCATCAATCAGAGGCCAGCGCCGATTCACAGCTGTTCACAGAATGCAAATGCATATACGATCGGTTCAGCACCGTCTTGTAGTCGCGACGGTGGTAGTCAGGAAGAAAGACGAGTTGCGCTCGCGTTCAGCGATCGTCATGCCGTCTTCCGTAAAAGGCAATCAAGCTCGACCTGCTGTACGACGCGCGCCACGGCCTTGACTCCAGCCATCACGCACCGCCGACATCGTCGAATATTCTCCCATGGCACGCACCAGCAGCCGGTCGTCGAGCGAGGACTTTGCCCGGAGCATCGACCCAGCGCAGCTGCTCGAGATTCGTGCGCGTCAACGGACGTTCGAGGGCGCCTATGCGCGGACCGCGCTCGCCAACCTGGGCTACGCGCTGGCCATCCTGCGTCTATTCGACCGCCGCTTCTACCGCAGTGCGTGCCTCCATCATCGGGGTGTTTGATTGGCGCTGACAGTTGACAGTCGGGCTGCTGTACTCGGCAATGGCCGTGTTCATGCTCCTCTGCGCCTTCCTCCGCTCCCGCTTCACCGACCACAGGCACGACGACGAGACGACCATCGAGCTCAACGCTCAGGAGGCTGAGCGCCTGCTGTACTGCCCGCGCGCCGTCCGCACCAAGGGTCACGAGAAGAAGAAGCCCATTGGCCCTCCGTTCATCACCGCCGGTCGCGTCGTCGTCCTGGTCGCGCTCATCGTCTTCGCCACCGAGATCACACTGTGCGTCCTCATCTTCAAGCTGTAGATGTAAGCTTGAATTCACTATTCGTGCACCTCTCATCTGACTCTCCGTCAACAGGGCGCCACTGCTTCTCGTCCCTCTTTGACCTGCGGCCTTCTGCTTTTGGGGCGCGTCGCATGGACTCCCAACGGCTCGGTTCGTGCGGGCTTTGGCCTCCGCCTAAATCGATCCTCTCAGCGGTCAACGTTACACACGACACCAAAAGCGCGTCCACCCGTCGACTTGTCGAAGCAGCATGGAGCGAGCTGATGAGTCGCGTCAGGCCGCCCGCCTCGGCTAGCGTATGCAGCTATGCAACCGCGTACCCTGTGGGCGATGAGCAGAGCGAGGACATCAGTCGAGCCTGGGAAGTATAGACGGAATGGGCAAGCGTTATGTCGGTCGTGCTGTCGGCCTTTGTGGTTTATACTGTACCCATACCCGCACCTCTTTCGAGCAACGACGTACATCAACTGGCCTCAAAAGTATCATCTCATGATATACCGCTGTGTTTATGAACCTTTCAAAGAGTGCACTCCAGAATAGCGGGTCAGTCGACCGTGCGAGCCCGACAGGCCTCGGCCTCGGCCTGGTGGCACGCGCGGGATTGTCGGTGCCACAACTGCTCTTGCTCGCAACCACCACCTCAGACCCCTCCCACAGCCTACACCTACTTCGACGACTCCGCCAATCACTCGTGCTCTACACTCCAACGCCTCTTCAACACCAACCCCCACCATGACCGCGCGGAACTTCCAACTCGGACTCGTCGATCCCAGCGAGAACGCTCTACAAGACACCAGGAACTGGCCCGTGCGCGGCTCCGCGCCGAAGCCCAAATACGTCGTATTCCATCCTAAGGATATACCCGAGCTATACCCGGAGAAGATCTTCGAACGTATGCGCTTCTCGCTGCTGCTCGATGCTCTATGGCTGAATCTTGTCGTTTCGCAGATCCGGACAAGTTCAAGCCGGTGAAGGATTGGAGGGGACGCGTCGTCCTTTGGGGTATACTACCGGTGAGCGCCACAAGTATTGCTTTTGATTGGCGTTGTCATTGAGACGTCTTTGCAGATACACCCCAAGGGAACCGAATGGGGGGGATTCCAGAAACACGGCGAGTTCATCGGCGAGCGAAAGGCAATGTCATCCATACATTTTCCCCGCGGCGCATCGAACTCATATGCGTATTGCATCGCAGTTCATTGGGAACTTCTATACTAATACACCAGGGTTCCGAGCGCCCGGCGTACCGCATCGCATTCCCGAGAAGCAGTTCACTGACGTACTCGTTGAGAAGCAGGTGCGCCGCGTCGTCAAGGTGATCTTTGGCTATTCAGTCTTATCCATGTGTTGCATATAGATCAAGCGGCTGCGCGCAATGGATCTGGGCGACCTCGTTCATCGTGATTATACGTTGAAGATATGCCTCGAGTGCGTTCATTGCCCTTAACAGTACATTCGACCGTCTACTGACGTGCTGCTTATGGCGCTCACAGGAAAGTATTCAACGCCAAGGGGAACTACCGGGTACGATCTGTCCGCTCACCGGCATCAGCCACTCACTACAATCTCACTAACTTCTCTCCAGATCTGGCGAACGTTCAAGGTCTCGGGCGGACTCTCCATCGCGGCGCTCGCCGACAAGGTCCTTCTACTGGTGATGGGATGGTCGGTATCTAAACTTCTTCCACCAACGCGTACACTCATGCTCGTGCCTTCAGGGTCCGCAACTACCACGCGCATGCATACACGACATTCTCGAACGGGGCGGTATACGGGCCATCAGTACGCGCTGTATTCCCTCACTAAGCCAGGCTATTCTCATCCACGTTGACCAGGAAGCGAAGACGGTCGACATGATGCACGACCAATCCGTAAGCCTAACCCGCACTCTGCGCTAGCGGCGACGTATTCACGTGCCATGCCTTTAGATTGGATGGAACATGATCCCGGAGAAGAGCAATCGCGGTAACTGGACCCTCGCCCATCTGCTCCAGAAAGAGGGCGAACAGATGTGGTGGCTGTACGACTGTACGTCCTACCATATCCCTTCTTCCACGTCTCGAACACCATCTCACAAGCTTTAGATGGCGATAGGTATACGCACTTGATCACCGTACGTCAGCCACGTTGATCATTGCCGTTACACTCGCTCATCGTGTTACAGGTAGAATCCATCGCACCCCTCTCCTCCTCAAACGGAAAGTTCGCCCTCCTCTCCGGCTCCGGCGCATGCCCCTACGAAGACGGCCACGGCGACATCGCCTGGTCCAAAGACATCCAAAAGCTCGCGCACCCCTCCACCCGCGCACCCGTCCTCGCCGAGATCCGCCGCGCGATGAACTACAAACACGCGTCCAGCTCCATCCTCAACTCGTTCGACCCCGACCACTTCTCCGTGGACGAAGCGCGCCGGCGCGTACACGCAGCCCTCGCCAGCCCCGATTCCGTCCTGAGCGGCGCGAAGCGATGGGTGTATCCGTTACAAGAGGCAGCGAAGTATGACTCGGAGGTGCCGGTGGATATGCGTGCTCCGGGGAAGGGACAGACGCTCGATAGGGAATGGGACGGGGATGGGAGGAGGTTTATGGCGGAGGTTACGTCGGAGAAGAGGGATAGGCTGAGTACGGGATGTTGCTGGACGTGTGGCACGCCGCATGGGCTGTCGAGGTGCGTTCGCGGTTTGTAGGTTGATGGTGATGATGTTGGGCTGATGGAGAACGTAGCTGCTCTCGCTGTCATAAGCCGTTGTACTGTAGCAAGGAATGCCAAGCTGTGAGTGTATCCATGTTATGTGGCGGTCGCAGCATCAGGCTCACAAACTGGAAACGTGCAGGTCCACTGGAGGGCCGCCCATCGAAAGGAGTGTAAACAGTGGAGTAGATAAACATGACTTCAGCTGATACCATACGTACCTACTCTACTATCTACCCGATAGTATGCGAGTCACGGAGAGGGGTGAACCCTCTCGACGCGTACCACTTGAATCTTGCCAGTACGATACGTCGGCTTTCCGGTCCGAGCAGCCGAGGATCGCGACAGAGACTGAGGCCGTCCGCGACTTGCCTTGGACCACCATGGACTATCTTAGTAGAACCCAGCTTATCCCAAATTCAACCATTGCTCATTCACGTCTCCTGAAAAGGGCTCGCTTAGCTTTAGATGCCTACCCATTCGGTGACGAACGTACACTTGAGCAGCCGCACGATACGCGGCCCCCCAATCCCGACACACATACCAATGCGTCGACTCCGTATTATCCTCCTCCGTGAAACCCTCGATATGCATATCGCTCTGGCAAAGCGCGCTCGTCCTCAAGTAGTTGAGGCAACTCCGCGCGTGCGGCGAGCGCGCCATCGCGCCCGTGCTCCTGACCCGACCAAAGTCGCGGCGGATGAGGTCGAGGCAGCGCAGCTGGTGGAACATCGCTACGCTGTACGGCTCGCCGCTCTTCGCGTATCCCATCGTGCCGTTCTCGGGGAGGAGGGCGACCCATTCGTGGTCGAAGGATGCGTCGAGCTGGTAGTGTGCTGATTCTGACACTAGCATTCGTACGGGCGCGAACTCGCCGGCGGAGAGGCCGAGATCGGAAGGTCTGTTCAAGACGCGAACATAATCTGCGACAAGCGCTCAGCATCACTACAACGGGTAGAGCCGCCATTGGACATACCGTCTGAGTAAGTGACGTTTGCTTCTGGGCTCCCCAATACGCCGAACAGGAAGCTGACGAGGAGGCCTTGTAGGATGAGCTCGAGGATGAGTACGACTAACAGACGCATTCGACGCTCCATGGTCGACTGGTGTTGTATGGAAAGACGGGCATGCTTTCTTGATATGTCTACTACGGAGTCCGGGGTGCACACGCGGAACACTGTCCTTGACAGATGACGAGTTTGACGTCCGTAGGAGTCGTATGATGGTTCGTTCTGCTGTGCAGATCTCCATTCCATTCTCACGCACTGCTTCTAATCTCGAAGACAGCAGTACAGAGTATCGGCTCATCACCGCGTTTGACGTTGTTGCAGCGTCTATACTCTATCCTTGCGGATCCCGGACTGCGCAGCCGCTGGAGGAGTCGACTCGCATGGGAAGCCTTTGACACGGACGCGGTACGTCCAACCTCGTAATAGTCACCGAATACGTGGGAAGATTGATGGACACACAGTGATACTCGAAACACGGCAGCGGTTGGAGCTGCTACGGTACAGTATATCCGATGGATACTAGGAACAGGCTTCATTCGTTCCTTCATGTCGCGCCCCGAGCGTCTGCGCACGCGAACGCCTTCGAAATCCGATAGCGCTCTACCCTTCATCGTGATCATCACCACCGTCTCTGTGGCTCTAAGCACGATCTTCGTCCTCTTCGCCGCATGCACTGGCCGTCTTTCTACAACCCGATCCTTCGCCATAGGAAGACTTCGGGAGTCCGAGCTCCGTGCACTATGTGAGTGCCCACCCGCGTACATTCCGCCCCTAGCTCAACCATCCGTGACAGCTTTCGAGGATGACGAAGTTCCAATCTTCTATCCAATGCTCGACCTGCCCGTTGACGCCGAAGTGGATCAACGCCCGCTGGTCAAGGTCGGCTTCGAAGAGACCGTGCACTTTCACTGGGACAACAGCACGTCTGCGCGCGAGTACTTTCAGATGATACCTTTCGGAAGCGTCGGACAGCGCCATGGAAAGCAGAATCGTGCGTTCGCTACGGCGGTAAGGCTTGTCCCCTGTTTGTTCATGGATCGTATGCTAACGTACTATGCGCAGGTTTTTCATATGGAGCACTGCTACCGCATCTTCCACTCTGTCTACGTTTCTGACGATATCCCTGGGATTCAATGGGAACACATCAATCACTGTGCGTCGTGAGGCCGGTACTGTATGAATGAACTCTAACCAAATGCGCGTTCTAGGCGTCAACTACCTCCGCCAGCAGATCCTATGCACCGCAGACCTCACGCCTGAGATGGGCGACTTCATGGCTCGCGATCCAGGAGAAGCACGCGAGGGCTCTGTACGCGTCTGCAGAGACTTTGGCGCGATGTACGACAGCGCGGCGTATAACTGGTTCTCCTGGCTACGATACGCGAAGGCGCACAACATCACTAGTACGTCAATACGCGTACTTACGTCTAAAGCAATCCTGATAGTTGAACAGTACCCGCGAAGTGAAAGGACATGTGTATTAGGCGTGGTAATAGGTTCACTGGTGTAGTAACTATGTTGAATGTGACTGCACAGCAGCAATCATACCTTCTCCGCCGAATCGTCGTCATCACGAGAACCGCTGCCATCCCAGCCTATGCGTTGTGCAAAGTCAGATCCCGTGGGATCGAACGGACCGGTCGAGTCGGTCGTCGCAGTGGTGTAAGTGCGGCGGGAACGCTTTTCTGGCTTCGGCGCCGGCGCGAATACGATCGAAGTATCAAGTTTCGAAGACGTATTCCGCGTCCATCCCATTCCCATGGCTATGCGCGCTACGATGAGGAGAGGGGAGATGCCCTGCGGAGCCGTGAGTATGAGCTTTCCCATCTGCAGTGAAAGACGTACGGCGACAGTGCCCCAGATGACGAGGAACGGTGTACTGGCAAAGTTCCCTTTGCCTACGAGAACACAGGTGACCAGACCGATCACGGCGAGGGGAAGCGCCGACTCGACCAGCATTGAGATGACGGAAGTGTACATCGTAGAGTTGTCGTAGTCGCTTAGCGACAGTAATTCGATGTCATGCTTGAGCGCTGACCGCAGCTGGAAGCGAACGCGCAAGATGCGATAGCAAATGAGCGCGGTAAGTATGACATTCAGCGCGCTGGTCAGGGCGATCCATGGGACGGTGAAGTTGATGAGTTGGCCGACAGCGAAGAAGGCCTTCGTCGCTGGAAGCGCGCTCTCTACGAGCACGCAGAGTGAAAGCGCTAAAAGGGGTACGTGTCAGTATGCGAGCTCAGGTACAGTGTTCGAAGAGAGTAGACTCACCGATGGAAGCTAAGTAGATGAGCGCAGGGAGCACAATGACCTTCCACTTCCCGCTCCAGATGATGTAGCATCGATAGAGCTACAAGACGTACTTGAGCATCATGCAGCGATGAAGAGGTGAAGAATCGGCACGCACAAGTAGAGCATCACCCATCCACACAATGACGATGTCCGTCGCAGATCCTAGGGTGTTCCACCACGCGGCGCTATTAGCCACAAAGTACGCGTATGGCCCGCCCTCGGAAAATCGATCGTCTATCCACATCCGTTGACCCATGTAGACGTTGCCAAAGAGTGCGAGGATCATTAGGACGATGATAGTCAACACGTAGGCGATGTAGAAGGCTCTTTGTCGGAAGCTCATGGCAGGGTGGTTCCGCAGAAAAACGACTGCAAGTAGGCCGACTGTCGTGTTGACGCCTATGAGACAGATATGAGTCTTGGGCTCATAGTGAATGAAGAGCTCGGCACGTACCCACAAGGACACCAGCCCACGCATTGCCCACATAGAACGCGCGCTCATCGAGCAGGAAAGCCGACTGGTCCACGGAATCGGACATCACGACGAGCGCGGCAGGGATGAAATCTCAGAGATGGCCTCTCGAACGACACCTCTCCAGCACCCATCTTCCCATGGCACCCCGTATAAATGATCGTGCGCCTGACACAAACATCGATAGCGCGTCAGGTTGCCTTCCAACTGCCTGTCCAACTACTCTCAACGGTGCCACATGTTGATGCAGATGGATCGAGCGCTCGTCTACACATTCGCTCGCCGGCGGGAAGGCACGATGTTGCTGTGCCAGCGAATCACAGCGCCGCGAACGTCGGATGTTGAGAACGCGACACAGATAGAGAAGCTTCTTGGAGAGACTATCATGATGAAGAACGAAACTTGGAGGCATACAGTCTCCGAATCAAGCAGAAAATGCGCGAAAACCCACGCGTCGGCGCTAGCGCGGCACCGAATGGACACCCGTGAGGTATATACGCAGTTTGGTAGGCGTGCATCATGCAGAAGGACATCGTGCGAGGCAGGTACATGGCGACAGAAACTGGAAAAATGTCTAGAATACGCTCTGAGCCTGACGTAGAAACAAGCCTAGAACATCCCAGTCAGTTAACGGCACTGCGTAGATCGTACAAGGGTCCGCACCTCCTTCAGCTCGTCCCGTATGCAGGACGTCAAGGTCGCACATAGGACCGGAGCATTCGATCTCGATGGTCGGAAACGCGTCCCGAGGGCAGGTGAATGTCGGAGATGTTACGTTCACACCCGGGGACACCGTTAAGCGGCCGAGAGACGTGACACGAGCTGGCTTAGTAGAGAACGACAGCTTCTTGACGTCTAGTTCACTGCTTGGGTCGAGAAGCCAAAGAGCGATCTCTGAAGGCGCGTGTATCCGGTTAAGAGTGGTCACGTCGTTGGTAATCGGAGGTAGCACGATCTCAACCGTGCAGTTGTCCATGCCCCAATCCAGAGTGCGGAACTGTGCGATTGTCGACATCTGCATTGATGAGATGTAGCGAAGAGCGCGTGGCAGGTCATGGAACAGGTACGTACCTCATCTGTAACGAGTAGACGCCGCGACTGCACAGACGCGTATCCTTCGTGCGGCAGCAGTGCGTACTTTGTTGGCGGAGTGTAGACATTTGAGACATGTACTCTTGACACCGGGGCCATGATAGCGGCGTGTTGGATGAAGGGCGCGAAGATCGGACGTGGTCCTCGAGCATTTGGACCGTACAGAACGTCGAAGTCGATGTAGGTACTACGCCACTCCAGCTTCTTCAAGTCCGACTTCAAAGCCACTGTGATGATGCCTGGCTGATTCCAGATTGCGTAGCCGACTGCTATAGCGCTCAGAGCGGCGCACACGGATACGACGTATAAGGCCCATAACACAATATGTTCGTGCAGGTCCGAAGTCAATCCTGTCGCGACTGGTCAGCGAGAGTGAAGAAGGTGCAGTGGTAAAGCTCCTACTGCGTGTGCGGGCCCCGATCAAGGAAGACCCGAGTTCAACATCGTGATCGCTGTCCACCAGCTCATAGTCTTTCGATCTAGCAAGCCACATTGTTGACGATGAGCGGTTGGAGGATACAGAGTGGCGCTGAGGTAAATAGGTGCCTTGAAGATGTGTCGAAGACAGAGCGGGTGGATGAGACGATAGAAGGATCCAGTCGAGAGTGGATCCTCATTCACGCAGGACCTGTTTACTTCTGTGACCCTAATACGCGGATTTCCGAACGGCCGTGGATCCGTGTCATAGTATGAAAGTAGACACATACCTATCATACGCCACGAGGCCTATGCAAGGTTCGAGCACATCCCGATTTGGGTGAAAACGCCTGAATACGATGGCGTACTTGCATCGCGACGTGCAGTGCTGTATCGCAGTCCTGACGGCCAGATTGACTCTGCAGATGCGGCGGCAACTGTATCAGCGGCGTATGATACGCATCCGGACCCACAGCTCACGTTCACCTGTCACGGCCCGTCGTGTGTACACCGTCATGTCCACTGCTAGGTATTGATCCGCGACGCCCTAGCAAGTGGATCGCTGAAAATGAATGCACTGCGCATGCGCATTTGGGAAGGATGTAGCTGAGTACGTAGATGAGCAAGTTAGAGTAGTCGTCATTGGAGAATGCGGTGTTTCTGGTCCCGTTCCGGCGGATGGTTGCGTGCCAAACAACGCTGAATCAAAGATATTCGACGTCAGAAGAGTTTGCCGTGCAAACACCGACTGGAACGCGCTCACCATTACCGTGTGAAGCAACCGGGCAGCTCGGCTGTGTGTCGGTCTCTGAGATAGGACAGACTTCAGCGAGTGTCCGGGTAAACGTACGATAGCAAATGGGCATGGGACGAGAAGCTCCTTCCGCACAGCCCTCTCTTAGCATCCTAAGATGGGCGCTTCCCTCTCGCCACAGGAGACACAGCTACCACGATGACAGCGGATAACATGGTTGAGCGCCGAGTTCGGCTTCTTCAGTCAGCTTCCGGTACGATGAACCCAAGTAGAACAGATACTTACTGTACTCACCTTCATTCGCACCAGAGGACGACATCGGCCGGCTCGTGGACCTTATGATCGATGCGTTCCCAGACGACGGTTTGTTTGAAAGGCCCCCTTCAGAGAAGGACTGTCTGACCGGATTGATAGATCCGACAAAGATTGGTCTCCTCGGCGGCAAGCTGGAGTTGAAGGAGGAGTACTTCACGGCGATGGTGCGCGCTGCGTTGCTTGAAGGCGATGTCTGGGTAGTCGAAGTGGACAATCAATGGGTATCAGTTGGTCTGTGGTTCAAATGGCCTAGCATCCTCTTCACGACGCGAGTCGCACTTGTCTCCGACGTGATAGTGCGGTGACCTGATTTCTCCTCAGCGACGCACAAAGGGATCTCGGGTATAACGAGTTCTTCAAAAAGCTTTCGCCAGAGGTACAGCATTGGTGGACGGTCGAGGTGCGCGCATGTCAGCTGGTGATCGAATGCTACTCTGACGGGTCTTCAAGTACGAGGAACAGGTGGATGTTTGGCTGAAACGGAAGACCATCTCCAATGAGGTGCGTTGCGAGGTTCGCGTCTGTCCCATGTCGCTGAAGGCTTGCAGGAATGGGGAAGGATGTGGTACTGCAGCTTGCTGGCTACGCGTTCCGCTCATCAGGGCAATGGTCATGCGACGGCACTCGTCAACCGGGTCCTCTCCGAGGTAAGAGGCGCTTGTCTCAGATCGCAATATCTGAATATTCCCGAAGGTGCATAATCAGGCCAATGGCATGATTGGTCTTGGTACAGGCAGCGAACTGAACGTAGCCAAGTACGAAGCGATGGGATTCAGGGAGAGGGGGCATATCACGATGCACACACCCGTGAACAGCTTCCTTTGCGCTTGGTTGACCAAGGACATTTAGTCTTATGTATATACGTGCAAACCTGTGGAGAGCGTCAACAGGCGCAAGAGATGTCCGCAAATAGTTCACGCACTACTGTATTGACCTTCCACGATTATCCATACAATACCCCAGCGCGGGGCAAGCCGCAAGCACCATGACCGCTCAGTCCAAGATCGAGCCGCTTGACTCGCGCGCCGGCCCGCATTCCGCTGCCGCGCTGCGTGAGGGTTGAACGTTGACCTTCCCGACCACCACCACTGCCCTCCTCAACAGGATTGGGGTACCATACGTTTGACTCTCATTGTAGTGATACACTCGCGAGTCTGAGCTTACCAGCGATCCAACGATAAGACGTGGGAGCGTCTCGAATGAAGGCGACGGATCGTCATAGACTGGTGCGACTGAGAGGCCTCCGTGGAACTCTCACATCTACCTCACTGGCAACTGACCAGTGGCTTCGTCGAAAAAGAAGCCTCCTTTGACAGTTCAAGCACGCCGATCAGAGCGACCCTTCACGTCAAGGCGAGGCTACAAACTGATTTAGAGCTTTCCAATCGCGCTGAATCCTCTGGAATGCGCCGCGTCTATGCATGGCATCTCGCGATCATCCACTCAACTGGGTGTCCTGTCAAGGAAACGAATCCAAGCACATTTGGAGATCCACCGCAGCGTCTTCCCGTCGTCAGTGCCAATCAAGAGCATCGGTGACATATAGTACCCCGCGCTGACCGCAGCGTGCGGCATCGTATGCAACGCGATGCAGGTTTAGAGTTCTCGGACAACTTGCAGGCGCAGCGCGACGGAGTTCGGTAGTAAGTAAAAGGTCAAATCTATATCACAGCGACGTCTTGCATACAAAAGAAGGCGGAATGGTGAGGTAGTCGAAAGGACACCTCCACCGACAGGGTCTACCACCATGCATATTCTAATAAGCTCTCTCTTTCTCGTGTTCCTCACCTCAACATGCCAAGCGCTCGTACATCCACCTTACAGCCTCACCAAAGATGAACGTGAGTTCACGGTGGCGTTCACGCTTGTCAGGCTCATCATACGCATATCTTTCTAGTTGCCGCTTTGGAGGTCCCTCGCGCTGACGCCAGCACTGCCGGAGACTCGTCATTGACTCCGTAGGGCAGTGGGACGATGCCGTCGTCTATAAGATAACCTGTAAGTGGCATTACCCTGGCATGTAGTTCCCGCGACTCACCAAGACTACAGCAACCCACTTCAGTCTCTTCGTTCCTGTCATGTGAAGGGCTCATAGTACTGGGATGAGCGCCACAGCTGTGTTCGTAGTGTACCTGCAGCATGTACTCCGAGCGTTGTCTTGCTTCTGACATGACAATACTGTTCATCCCGTATATCCTTGATCGATACACTGCATCTACCTCTCGGACTTGCAGCTGAGACTTGAGCGAGTTTATAGACGGAATAGCAGTATCACGAAACACAGAGTACAACATCGTGTACGTCAGAAGCCATTGGGGATGTCAACGTACCTGGCAAAGTCATACATACCGGGTATTAGTCGCCGTCGAGGAGAAGCCCGGACATCGGGCCGAGAAGGCTATGTGCCAAAAATGCACGTAGCATGCGGCACTTCTTCAGCACGAGACAAAAACAGACCAATATAGACCTTCATCGTATACGCTCGTGCCCTGTAGAGTGCTCAAATGGTACTGAACTGACCACGGTTGTCAAGGAGTACGTCGAAATGGTATTCGAACACTCACAGCACAGAGACGGAAGCTCCTAGAGAAGCAAGGGGACTAGTAACGAGTCCCTAGCACAGGGGGGGAGTATAAGTCTGCTGCAAACTGCAACGGTGTGCAGAAACAACGACACACCCACTGATCCTCGATGCGCTGTCCGCTCTTTATCATCATGATCGCATTCATCGTATCGGCTCGAGGGAGTGTCATTCCTCCTACAGACATCGGTACGCTCAGGTGGTGCATAGATCGTAGCGGACGTGATGCTGAGCAGGCATATCTCAGACGCTGATATCGACGTCCCACGAGCCGATTCCAAATTTCCGCCCGACCGATCGCTGACGAAGCGTATGGTACGTTGTAGAACCAGGGATAGCCTGGTATATGAGATACGTTGCTCATTTGCGTGACAGATCGAAGGAATAGCGCTCGAGCTCGAAGAAAGCAAACAGTACGACAAGTGCATTAGTTAACGCCTGCAATCCTGGCGTGCCTAGCTTTGTGAACAGACGTAGAGAAGTCCAAGCATACAACATCCTATATGGGAATGCAATCAATTGTGCAGATAGATCCGTTCGTAGTTACGGTGGTCGCAAACAGAGTCAAGTTATGCTCGGCCGAATTGATGCAGCTTCCGCGTGTGCGCCACGCGGCGCCCGGATGTTCCCCGAGCGCCGCTACTCGCCACAACTCTCCTCCCACCCATATGTTGTCCATACCCTGTCTATACGTGCTTCCGCTTGCGCCGTGTATAAGTCGTGGCAGTACTCGAGGTCTCGCAACGGCGAACCCATCCCAATGAAACGTCTTCTCCCGCTTTCGGCAAACGGTTGTAGGGCTTTCTCCGTGTTGACCGAGCTTGCCTCAAACTCTTAGCGCACACTCGTGCCGCTCGCCATGTACACTAAGTATAGATTGTGTCTAGTACGGAGCTGTGTCTCGTACAGCGGATGACCGTGCCCGAATAGGCTATGTCGTCGTATCCGGGTTGCTGTCGCCTTGCGCGCTACCGGTGCTTGTATACCAGAGAGGTATAAAGTCGAACTCGGAGAGAACCAGCATTCATACTGAAGTACTGACTCATCACTCCTCTTTCAATCTCGACATGCGCATCTCTTCCATCGTGTACGCCGCTATCTCCATCGCTTCCGCGGTGGCCCAGAGCATCCCGTACGTAGCATACACCCACATCCGCGCTCCATCCTACGTGCTGAACCGCTCTTCAACCTCTCTCACAGTGCAGGCAGCCAAATCCAGCTCCACCTCGCGAACTACTCGACGTACTGCCTCGGCGCCACCTCCGCCACCCTCCAAGCCCCAGTCCTCATCGAAGTCTGCGGCGCCGCGAACACGACGTTCAAGATCGGCCTGGACGACCCCACAACCACCGGCACGAAGTTCCAGCTCGTGAGCCCTGCGACGGGGCCCGGCACGCCCGTCCCGTTCCTCTGCGTCACCGCGAGCGGGTCGCAGGACGGCAGTGCGCCGCTCGTCATGGACACGTGCGAGGACGATAAGTTTGAGAATTGGCGCGTCGGCGCGGGAGAGGGCACGGGGGAGATCGTCTCTCTTGCTCCGTCGGACGGCGCGTTCTGCCTCACTGCTGCTGGTGCGGACGCTGGTGCCGCGGTAAGTCTTTGAGTATTGGCAAGTTGGAGAGACCATAGACTGACGAAGTCGAGTTCAGATCGAGTACCGTCCATGCACCAACGACGTTAATCAGCAGTGGACTGTTGTTGTCGTTGACAACTAGAGGGACGTACTGCAGACAGGTGGATGCTCTGGATGCGAATGGGTGCTCGATATTAACAGCAGCTGGTCATTTCGTGAACGTGCTCTTCCTACCTTGAGTAACTGTACACTGTACCATCACGCCTTACTCGGGTTCGTTCATGCTCGACAGGATACGTCGTTGTTCCGCTCAACATTCAGCAGTCCTCTTGCAGAACACCAATAACACCGACGGTCCATCGAGATCATGCACCCAGCTACGCAGGTTCGCGTTCCCATAGAACATAAGATGAACAATGGGTATCAATGCGCCGATAATGGCGCCAATATCACACGTAGAGCGCTGCACAATGCAGAGACCATCAGTTGATCAGTCTACGCGAACAGAGAGCGCGGAAGACAAGGAACACAGAACGATATTCCTGAATTCCACGGCGCACAACTACAGTAATAAAGCCTAGGATTGTGGGTGGAGGGGTATAATATATCATCGCGACGTATAGGTTGACAAACACAAACGCGAATAACAAAGGTAAAAGTAACGCCTAAGCGAGCGAGCGTGCACATCCCGAAACAAAACACCTAAAGGGGACCCGGGAGCCAGCCTGCGAAAGAAAGTAGGATCCAACATTCGCTTAAAGCGAGAGCGCCGCGAGGACGAGGGCGCCGAGAACACCAGCCGCGCCCGAGACGGCGTGGTTGGGGGCCGCACCGCTGGCGGAGACGACGCCGCCGGCGAGACCGCCACCGACGTTGTTAACGGTCGAGTCGGAGGAGAAGAAGTCGGTGCCGCAGGCGGTGGTGGTGGCGTTGTAGAGCGCGGGCTGGCCGGAGAACATGACCGAGTTGGCGATGCCGGGCGCGTAGCTCTGGGAGTTGAGGGCGTCGATCCAGGCCTCCTGGACCTGCTTGGAGCAGTCGCCGCAGAGGACGTCGCTCGAGTCTGAGGCCGAGAGGCGGACGAAGGCGACGTTCTGGGAGTTGTAGGTGTCAGTGTTGGGCTTGAGGACGACCTGGGAGTCGCGCTTGACGAGGGGGGCGAGGGTGGCGTCGCGCTTTGAGTTTGAGGACGAGGTGGAGAGGGAGGTCACGCAGTAGGCGTTGTCCGACTTTGCGCACAGGGCCGTCTTGAGCGGGTTGATCATGTACAGCGAGTCGTAGATCGCGATCGTGTCCTTGTTCGTGCTCGCGCCCACAAGCTCGGCCGAGCAAGCCGAACGGAAGTTCGTCAGCGCAGTCTGCAGGTCGCTCGCCTGGCACGACGTAGACGAGCACAGCTGCGCGAGGGCGGACGTGACGGCGCTCGCGTCGGCAGAGGAGGTCGCGGTCGGGCCGAACGCCGACGTCGCGCTGTTGATCGACGACAGGCACGAAGTGAGCGTGCCGTCCGTGTTGAGGCTCGTGAGGAACGTCGAGCAGCCGTCAGAGATGCCAGACGGCACGAGCGGGCTCTGCGCGTCCCCCGTCAGTTTCAGCTCGTTAAAAATATTCTTTACTGTACTCACGGTGGTCGAGTTTGCCGCGAGGGCGACAGAGACGAAAGCGGTGGCGACGACTGCGGACTTCATTGTAGTGTAGGAGAAAGGTAGAGAGCGAGGGTGAATGAACGAGTGAAGAGTCGTGCTCAGAGGCGCGGACTGGACGTGAGGACGGGGCGAGGCAACAAGCACGAACAGCTGCAACCCCGGCGCTAGACGGCGACCCCATCATTTTCACACGGCTTCCCGCCCTCACAACGACGGCCTCGGTAACCGCGTGCATCACCGACCGCGCCCTCACGGTCTCGGCTCCCCGCACTTCTTGGCACTAGTGTGAAGGTCCCTCCCAACCGGATTGGCTCATATGCCGCTGAAACTATGTGTCTACTACACCACAGGGCATCCCTCTTTGAGCTGGTATTGCTACTTCATACGTCTGCTCATACGCCAACCCATCGAGCTTAGTCGCGCATGTCTGGTGTACTTCTCTCGCGCATTGACACACCGCGCTTCTGGCTGCTCACACCTCACGCACTGCTCGTCAAACAAGATATAGTGTGATTGGCTTCGTACCAGAGCACGGAGCGTCCATCAACGAACGAGACAATGCTCTCTACCCTACTACTCATGATACCTAGACCACAACAGTAGTCCACTGCTGGCTCGCCGCACCAGTACAGTTCCTAAACTCAACCTACAACCGCATACGTCAGTACCCATCCCACTCATCCCGCACCCAACCAAAGACTCACAGGATCCCCCTGATTACTCCCCACAGCAGTCAAACAAACTGCAGCCATAATCGGCGCCGTACTCTCGATCTCGCCCGTCCCCTTCCCATCATTTACGCGCCAGCCCTGCAACAGATCGTCCGCGTCGCACGTCTGGAGGATGACGGGCGTATTCCCCGCTTGGGCCTCGCGCGCGGTGATGCACAAGAGCGGCTGGGGTTGACCGGGTCCGGTTTGGCTGTCGACGAGCTGGATCTGCGTCGCGTTCAGGGGCGCGCCGTTCGGGAGCTTGAAGGTCGTTAGGGAGCGCGTGCAGGGCTCAAGGAGGAGCTCGGATTGCTGAGTGCCGGCGACGGCGCCGAGGCAGAGGTTTGCGCTCGGGTTCTGCGTGGAGTGGAACTGGACAGACGCGCCCGGGCTGGAGAGAAGCGGGTCTTCAGCGAGGGGAGACGTGAGGGTGGGAGTGGCAGAGGACGTACGCGATGCTCTGTGCCATGCCCGAAGTGGCGAGTACGGCAGCGGACACGAAGAAGGAAAAGAACTTGTTCATAGCGAGGAGAGGGTGTGAAGCGTAGTTGGGCTGCCAGATGCTTAAGCGCTCAAGTCCCTGAGTGAGTCTGCTTTTCCTTGGATGCCCGTTCTGCGAGTCTCTTATACTGCACAACCCACAGAGGCGCTCGATCTTACGGCTGTATGGTTTCAAGGTCCTGTAAGCCTTCGGCGGGACGCCGTACAGCAATGGGATACAGCGAAACGCCTCACAGAGACAAGAGCGGGCACTATCGTCCGGACTCCGCGCTTCCGGGCATTGGCGTCCACATCATGGTCAGGCAAGACGAGGTGAGACTCTGAAGAGTACTGCTTCTGAGGTCAGCAGACGAGATGCTCTTGCCGGCGTTGAAAGATGGCATGCTAACTTGCGCCCGCAACCGTTTCAAGACTACGCATCGTGCCACAGGAGGTGGCGAAGCTCAGGTCGTCCGAGCCGCGCCGCTCATACACTACCGATCACTTGATTGTATATGAATACTACGACTTCCTCCACTCAGGGTGCTCAGCATGAGTACCAGATACAACATCAAGTGCATTGTCCAAGTTGTACATAACACGAATCCTCAGCGAAACTCAACAAGCTGTCCATGCTCATTCGGCCGTCGACGCGGACGCAACATCCTCCCGGCCTATCCGATGCCCATTCCTAAACCACAATAGTGGTCCATTGCTGGTTCGCACCGTCAGCGCAAGGGCGGAACTCGACCTTCGTCAACCAAGTCAGCTCTCCCGGTACCAAACCATACGACGACGTCGAAGCACTCACCGGGTCTCCCTGGTTAGTGCCCACCGCCGTAAGACACGACGCAGGAGCAAGAGCTCCCTGAGCAGTAGTAACGATTTGCCCGGTACCTTGGCCAGCCTGGATCAACCAGCGCTCGAACGAGTCGTCCGAGCACGCCTGCAAGATGACGGGCGTGTTACCGGCCTGGCTCTCGAGCGCCGTGATGCACAGGTCTGGCTGGCCCGATACGGCGCCGACGAGCTCGATCTGCGTGTTGGCCATGCCGTCGGGGAGGACGAACGTAGTGAGGTTGCGCGAGCAGGGCTCGAGAAGGATCTCGGACTGCTGGGTACCGGCTACAGCGCCGAGGCAGAGGTTCGCGCTTGGGTTCTGAGCAGAGTGGATCTGAACGGTCGAGCCGGCGCTGAAATGACGATGAGGCTGGGATGGTGATGCGAAGGGAAGGGCGGCCTACGGGATGATCTGAGCCACGCTCGAAGTGGCGAGTATGGCAGCAGACACGAGGACGGAGAAGAACTTGTTCATGATGACGAGGAGAGTGTGTGAGGCGTAGTTTGGCTGTCAGATGTTCAAGTCTCCGAGTGAGTCTGCTTGCCTTGCATATCCGTCTCGCCAGTCTCTTATACTCTGCACCCTGCAGGAGCGCTCAGCACTTCCGGATGTATCGTTGCATAGTTTCAAAGACCTTTTGCGGGACGCCGTAAAGCAACGAAGTACAGTGAAACGACTGAGAGAACCTACGGAGACCATCCTCCGCGTTTCCGGGCATCCGCGCCTACAACAAGGTCATGTACAACGAGTTGAGACTCTGGAAGAGTACTGCCTTGAGACGTCAGCAGACCATTCACTTTGCTGAGTACAGTGAGTGCTGAAGGATAGTATGCAGACCCGTGTAGGAGGGAGTGTTTCACAGCTGCGCCCCATCATGCCACAGGAGGTGGCAGAGTTCAGGATCCCTACTCATGCAGTACCATTCTCTTGAGCGCATCTGCGTACCGCGATGCTGCGATCGCGTCTCTAGCAAGCTTGTCGTTCATCAGACTCGCACCCTGATTAGCAAACTGATACCGGTTGTAATTGACCTTATACCACGATACGGATCGGCAGTGCTAGTAAACTTCGAACCCCGTATCCATGCCGACATCGACACAGGCGACACGATTCTCTTTGCTGTCCTGACTATCCCTGGTTTGTCCTCAGAATGAGACGACTGTGAACCACTGTTGGTTCGTCGCATTGGTGCAAGGGCGATACTCGATCTTCATCATCTCAGTCAGTGTTCTCGTCCTATCGCGGACAGAGGAGTCTGCACTGACCGGATCACCCTGGTTCGAACCCACAGCCGTAAGACATTCCTCACTACCGCTGGCAGTCGACACAACCTCGCCCCTACCCTCACCTGCAGGGAACTGCCAGATTTGGAACGGATCACCCCCGCACGCCTGTAGAATCACGGGCGTGTTCCCGGCCTGGCTCTGAGAAGCCGTGATGCATAACTCAGGCTGCCCTGTCGGGACACCACCGAGCACGATCTGCGTGTTGTCCGCGCCACTGGGTAGAACGAACATCGTGAGGTTGCGAGTGCAAGGCTCGAGCAGGATCTCGGACTGCGCGCTGTCGGCCACGGCGCCGACGCAGAGGTTTGAGTCCAGGTTCTGCGTGAAGATCTGGACGGTACCGCCAGGACTAAACGACGATCAGTATGAGACAGGATGCCAGTATGTGCGGGGAAAGAGAAGACAACGTACGGGATGCTTGGGAGGTCAAGTTGCGCCACGGCCGAGGTGACAGCCACCGCTGCGTAGACAATGAAAGTCGCGATCTGGTTCATGTTGAGTGGTGGACGTCGTGCAATATGAGTCTGGTATGTTCAGGAGAGCTCTCACTGGTGCTCCGATATGTAGTCGACGAATGCCTTATGTACGGTGCCCACTCTTGCACAATATACGCAGAGTACTGTGTCAAGCATCAGCACAAGGGGACGCAACACCGTAGCGGGACGCCACGTACGAGCGGGGAGATACGAAACGAAAGTGCAGGGTCTGTTTGAACACCAACAGTTGCGCCACCTGCCGTGAACAGTGGCCAAGGTGCCCGTAGCAGGCAAGTAGTGAGCCCCAATTCTCTTCTTCAGTATGTCTTAGTGCAGTCAGCAGATCTTGAGCATTGATGAGCAGAGCGGGTCCTGAACAGGGACTCTTACGGCTCGCGCGATCATGAATGTTTCATCGGGAGAGCCACACCGTGCCACATCCCAGGTATACTGGTCACATTCAATATCGACGTGTAAGAACGGAAGACACGAGGGAAGGGTTTGTATGCAAAGCTGAAACTTCTTGCCCGCATTACCAAACAAGAGAGCGTCTATCGGGACGCTCGCTACCGCACCACATGCTGTAGCTACGACAGGGTTGCTTCTGAGCACGAGTAGTATTTCGCCCTTCCATGTACAGCGAGAGCACAGCAAGTATCCCACAGTCTTAGGCGTCCACGGTGGTAACAATCCATTGCTGTTCAGGGACACCAGTACAGCTCTGAGTCGTAACCTAGAGTCACGAGGGTCAATCAGACATCGTCCTGCGGAGGACTCAAGGGACCACTCACCAAGTCACCCCGCTTCCCATCCACAGGAGCAGTGATACAGAGCGCCTCTTCCTCCTCGGCGGTGGAGATCTCGCCAGCGCCAGCGGCAACGTGCCAGCGCTCCAGCGGCGCATCCGCGCACACCTCGAGAAGTACGTCTCCCTACGAATCCGCATTCACGCATAACGGCTCAGGAAGACCGTCGACCAATATGATGCGCGTCTGGACGGAGGGCGTGCCGTCATCGAGGGCGTAAGTCGTTCCCGGTGTACCGCACGTTCCGAGAACGATGTGCGCATCGTCGACTGGCGCGACCGCGCCGAGGCACACGCTTGAGTTCGACGCGAGAGCAAACTGAATAGAAGAGCCGGCCCTATAGTTGATTGTCAGAGTGGCTCTAGGAGCACTAGTAGAGGGCGTGCAACGCACGGAATATCTTGCGCCTTGATCGAGGCAGTAAAGACGGCGGCGTACACGAGGGAAGCGAGGAAGTGGTTCATTTTCTCCGGGAGGTGAGCAGAGTAGCTTAGAAGATGTTGAAGCTGGTCATTCCTGTAAAGTTGGACAGCTCTTTATACTCTTGGATCAACCAACTCTTCACGACATGTCGGGATCGTAGAGGAATACGGCCCTCCAACGGAATGTCATATATACTCTCGACAGCATCTGCTGTTTCTTGTAGCTGTTAGACTCAGCCTCTGCAGTCGATGGAAACATGCAATGCGGCGTCAGTGCGCGATTATACGGGACACGCAGGCCGTCTACACCGATGCGCTCGTGCAAGCGCCCGTTCGGAACTGAAGAGGGCGTCTCGAAGTAGAAGTGTTTCGCCGAAGCCGGTGGACACAAGGTCCAGAAAACAACTTCGCGCACTTCAAGCTCTGAGTGCGGTAGACGAAGGTGGAAGCGAGAAAGCAGCCAGAAGTCTCGGATACGCAGGGTAGGCTGTGGGTTCGTGGCGGAACCGTGGGCGCTCGTGCGGCCAGGGAGCGTTTGCCATGAGTAGTCACGAGTCTAGATGTAATCACACCAGTAAGGTGAGAGGGTAGAAGTTTGTCGTATGAGATTGGACAACTGAGCAGAGCGTGATACATGGTTGTCTCTGCTCAACTGAACTTACGACTACGAGCTCAAGGTGGATGGTTCGCGGCCCGCCGACGCGGCAGATTTCCCGCGCGCGACAGCTTGCTCTCAACCGCAAGCCTCATTTTGCTCCCTGCCACCATCATGTCATGAAATGCTCATACGTTCTGCCATGTACCCCAACCGGGATCTAGCGCGGCACTCTGGAAATCGTACGAATATGGCCGGAGCGGTACTTAGTCATCACAGCATCGGCGTTTGCGGCGTTTGCGGCGATTTGCAGTGCGCGTCATGAGCACGTCAAGCGGCAGGCTCCCGCTGGCATCGGCGATAGCATGAGAGCCATAGTTGCCGGCCCTACGGCCTACGTACGCTTCTACGTGATCCGCCTCAAGTCCAGTAATCAAAGCTTCGAGAGAAGTCGAATGTCCGGGCCCCTATTCGGATGCCGACCATCCACAATGGGGTTCTATATAAGGGCTCCATCTAAGAGCCTACCACCAAAACTGGTGTGCAACAGCGGCGAAAGTCCACTGACTGGCAACACAGATACTCTCGCCGACCTCTCTATTCACCACAATGTCTCAAGAGCAGTCTGTCTGGCGGTTCAGCGAACTTGGTGCTGGTCCAACCGCACTGAAGCAGCATCGTGAGCCCGTCCCAAGCCCGGGTCCTGGCCAGTATCTCGTCCGCATCCATTCCGTCTCTCTGAACTATCGTGACGTCGCGATCGCCAATGGAACATATGGTCTCCCCGGTATCAAGGCGGGTGTAGTCCCGTGCTCAGATATGGGCGGGGAAATCGTCTCTGCAGGACAGGTCTGTTTTTCCTTCATTTTCCCTTTGAGTGTCGATGACTGAACCTGTCATGGTAGCACGCATCCAAGTTTCGTCCCGGCGATAAGGTCACGGCCATCTTCAATCAGGAGCATTTCTACGGACCCTCAGTCATGGGCGGCCGTGAGTTGACTGCTTGTGATACCTTTCCTTCACGCAGGACACTGATCGTCATATATTTAGAGTTCCTTGGGGGTCCTCTCGACGGAACGCTCCAGGAGTACCGCGTGCTCGACGAGATCACATTGCTTCGCGCGCCGGACTACCTCTCGGTAATTGATATTGCCTCATCTCTGAATCTGTGCTGACGATCTCGACTAGTATGACGAAATCTCCACATTCCCCATCGCAGCCGTGACCGCCTGGAGCGCGTTCTATGGAGAGAAGAAGCTGCTCCCCGGTCAAACCGTGCTCCTCCAGGGTACTGGTGGCGTCTCCATGTTCGGTCTCCTCATCGCCAAGGCTGCCGGGGCTCGAACCATCATCACGTCCTCCTCGGACGAAAAGCTCAAGTTCGCGACAAAGATGGGTGCGACGCATACCATCAACTACAAGCGCACACCAGACTGGGATGCGGAAGTTCAGCGGCTGACGAATGGGATCGGCGCGCACCACATCATTGACAACGTTGGTATCAATGAGATCGAGAAGTGCTTCAACTCGGTAGCAGCAGGCGGCGTCATCGATAGCATCGGCTTTCTAGGAGGTCCACCAAAGGCTACGCCCAACGTCCCTCTGCTTGCTCTCTTCAGACAGGCTTCCCTGCGGTACGTTCCTCGAAACGATCTCAGCTTTCCCTATCTGACAGTACCGAAGTGGAATCGGTGTCGGTTCAAAGCAGCTATTCGAGGAGCTACTGCAGTTTTCCGAGTTTCACCAGATTCACCCTCACATCGACCGCGTATTCCCATTTGAGAAGGCCGTGGAGGCTCTTCAGTATCTGGAGAGCGCGCAGCATTTCGGAAAGGTGGTCATCCATGTGACGTCCCACTGAGGCCTGAAGTCGTGTACTATGTCATCGCGAGGGGCTTATTATACACGTATTCAATCGTATGCCATTCACTCCGAGTCCGCGCCTTTCGTTCGGAGATGTATAAGAAAGATCAACTAGGTCGCGTATGGACCTCATTGTAACTAGCAGCACAGCGCTCGAACGGACCAACAATGTGGTTGACTTGAATACAGGCTACGATAACCCCAATAGATAACCTCAAAGACCTAAGTAGATATTGCGGACGGCTACATCATGTGCACATAAGTCTACGCCTCGTCGATCACATAGGTGCTCCATTGCTGGTTTGGCGTTCCAGTGCAGACCTGATACTCGACCTGAATCAGACGTCAGCGCGTGTAAGTGGCTCGTTGCAACAGAAGCACTTACCGGATCGCCTTGTCCGTCCACGGCCGCAGTGAGACAGAAGTCCTCGGTCTCTACCGCAGACCTGATCTGTCCGGTGCCCGTTCCGCCCTCGACATACCAGCGCTCGAACAAGTCGTCCGCGCATACCTCAAGAAGGACTGGCGTGTTCCCGGCTTGCGAGTCGACCGCGTTGACGCACAGAGGTTCGTCTCCGCTGTAGACAACTTCGAGGCGCGTTGCGATGGAAGAAATACCGTTGTCGAGCGTGAAGGTGGTACCAGGGGCGCCGCATGGTTGGAGAAGGATCTGAGCGTACTCGTAAGTGTATACAGCGCCGAGGCAGAGATCCGGGTTCTCGTTGGATCCGAATTGAACAGTCGAGCCCGCTCTGTAGGACAAGACGCAATGAGCGACGTGGCATAAGACCGATGGTGAAAGGGAATCGCGCACGATAAAGTTTGCGCCATGATGGGCATGGCGACGGCCGCTGTCGAGACGAGGAAGGTAAGAAGCGTGTTCATGTTGATCAGTGAGGACGGGTGGTGCAGAGGCTGATGATATCTTGTCGAGAGTAGTCCATTCCTTTATAGCTCTACAAGTGTATTGAAGTCAGGCTGAGACAGCATAAGAGGAGCCATATAGCGACGGAACATGAGCATAGTCTCAAGGACATCTACGTGCGCACATCCACCCAATAACTTCCTCAGAGATCGTCGATCGACAAGTTGAAACATGGCGGCCGCTCCTTGACGCGATATCCCCAATCGATGCACGTTAACCGGTGGAGGCCGCACACTGGTGACAGTACGAGCTTGACGTCTCATTTGCGTATGACAAATTAGGTAGATGAGCCCACATCGTCCTCATTTCAAAGGCTGATGTGCTGGGGAACCGAAGGCGGATATGTCTTCGAGGCAGCGCGAGCATAGGAACTGCAAGACAAGGCACACGAGTCTGGTTCGCCTAGGAGCATCGTGATCAGTGACGGACGCACGCACTATAAGACACAGACACACTAGTATCATAGGCAGTGCACTTAAATACAACTGCCACCGGTGACAACTCTCCGGGCTGTGTGGATCGTCGCGACAAGGCGGAGGCAAGTCGTGCACAGGTGCGTACGGAGGCCGCGTTAGCGCTAGCGCTAGCGACCCATACAACGGTTTTGCTTCTCCTGAGCATTAAATCGAACGCACAGAAGTTCCATTCATGTCTTTCGGAAAGGAAATGAGGGAAAAATGAGCCAGTGTATTGTCGTGCCAGTTCCCATCCCTCATGGGCAGAGGCAAGTCGCGCGCAGCGCTGCACACGGCGGCCACGCGCATCAGACTGACGAAACCAGCGAGGGTCCGATTGCTCTTCGGGGCTTTCGAGTCGACCACCACCACCACGCCACCTTGGCGAGGGCTCTCAAGTCATGCTCCTACCAGATCTCCCGTATGACATACTTGAGCTCGTCTTTCATCAACTAGATGCCCGCTCTGCTACAGTATGCGGCGAGCTCTGCCGGAAGTTTCGCGCATTCATCACGACGTCTCTACCAGTCCAGTACAAGATTGCTTTGGCCCGTCGAGGAATGAGTGCGGGACGGAATGAATCAATCGACCTGGCAGAACGCCTAGCCAAAGTAGAGCAGTATGAACGTGCGTGGCGCGAGGCATCTTGGGAGGAGTCCTTTGCGCTTAGCCTGTTACCACCCCGGGACAACTGCAAGATACTTCGTTCCCAGGGATACATGCTCCTATGGACCGCGCGTACGAGCACAGTTCGTCTTATCCGCCTGCCTTCGCCTTTGTGCGGCATCACATCTGAAGAGCACGTCTGGTGTCTCCCTTCAAACGTATCACGCCACCGCGACGACGAAGGCAATCCAACTAATCTGTACCCGCTCATGGACGTGGACAGCGACTTGATCATATTTGTGGATGCCAGCGGAGGGTGAGAAGCTCAGCTTATTTCAATGCTTTAGTCACGAGAGGCTCATTATCGGTGTCTGCAGCCCAGAAGCGGAAGTGCAGCTACTATATCCGCGTTCTCTTTTGACGGGAGATATTCACCCATGGTGTGCCGGAGCAGTTGAATTCTCCCTGAAAATACCCTCCACTTTTGGACATCTTGGCGCCGTGGACCTGCACAACAGATACATTTCACTAGGCGCGGTAGATGAATCAGGACCTTTCATGGTCTACGATTGGCTCAAGCGAAAGAAGGTCATACAGTTTGATGTATGTCTCTGGCGATTGTCTGTCTTGCGGCCTTTTTACAAACTCGCTCGTAGAATCCTGTCAAAACCAGTTTCTTGGGTTTCTTCGACGGCATGCGATTCCTTACCTTCGCCACGGATGAATCCGGTCGTTGCTGTGCGCTCGAGGTGTATGATCTTGGCCTGCTATCTGAAGAACCTCCTACCTCCGACGCCGCGCCTCGAGTTCCTATAACTCACAGATTTGAGCTCCCCTTTCATCAAGTCGGGACGACACTCGCTAGGTACGACGAAGAGACTTGGGCTTTACTCCCGAACTCCGCCAATCGCTCAGATTGCGCCTCGTACTTTCGCGAGGATGAATTGATCACAATATATTTCCCATTCATGCAAGGCCGTGCGGCACTTATGAACTACACGATCACGATGACCTTCGATCTTTCCGCACTGATATCATCCCTGCATATCAGCTCCAGCGATCATCCTGGCACTCGCAACGGAATGCACGTGATCCCATGGAACAACTGGCACGGCAGGGTCCGCATCGGCGTCCTACCATCTCCCTTCTCCACCGACATCGCTATCACAGGCTGGCGAGTGATACCTGACCTCCCTTCATTGAATGACGGGCACGTAGAAGTGAGAGTACACGATTCGCATCCGCTCAGGACCCGTCGAGCCGGCGACAGTTCTGCTACTCCCTCGTGCGAAGTCGTGAGGTGTAAGTGCGAGCTCACCGGGCTCAATTCGCGCAAACTTTGGGACCCGCCGCTCAACCATACTCTCCTCGCAACTGACTACGTCGTGCACACGATCAAATTACCATCCTCCTCCGCCGGGTCCAGCATAGGGAACAAAACTCACAGGGCGTTCTTCTCGCGAGACGCCATTATAATCATGGAGGCACGTTACATTTCAAGCTTTCATTCGCCTTCTTGTGAACCCGAGACTGACTCGTGTACAGTATAGACTTCCAGATATATCAGGACGTTGGGTTGAAGGGTTCGGGCTCACGTCGATCACGGCGTATCAACTCGTGTAGTACTTTGACATTCAAGTTTTATTGAGGGGTTTTCAGAATTTCGAAGGAGTTCATCAGATACTTGGATAGCCATCTCAACGAATGCATAGCCTTTCTTCTATAAGTCAGGGCTGAGTCCAATATCATCGTCTGGTATTAAGTATAAGATGCAATTTCAGCGATCAAGATTAGATAAGAAGCACACTAGAGTAGATCTATTCTTCCTCCGTCGGTCACTCCGCGCCATTGCCCCACGCTAGCGCTGCTGCAACCAGCTCGCGCGCAGTGTTCTCTTCCATCCGTCTAAGCTCCATGAGCGCTCGTACATGAGGTAACGCTTCCAGCTCTTCGAGCTCTGTGTCGTCCAAAACCTCGGGTGGGTCTACCACTAATGGGGGAGGGCGCCCGTCAGTCCAAAAGACCAAGTCCGGTCGAGGCTCGGGGATACTGTCACCGGCGGGCGACACCAATTCGAAGTACAACGGCAACTTCTTGAAGAGCAGTTTCATGCGCTTTCGAAGGATTTGGCCGACATAGACGTCCTTGCATGCATCGCAAACCTCGTACGCATGGTCGGAGAATGCATGGAGCTCCTGTGCGTTGCGCACGAATGAGCTGACAACTAGCCGCATGGCGCCCGCACATGCCCCGGTTGTTTTATTGGTGCATTCGTCGCATACATCGTGGTTGAGGAGCTTTGAGTACGTCTGGCCCTGAAATGAGACGAGTTGAGGGTATGCTGCGATCACAGCTTGTTGAAGCCGATCAATTCGGTGAGGCTTCAGAAATGGCGTGCGACGTAGGTTGTTGATCTCCTTCAGCACATGAGAGAAGCCGCTTGTATACACCGCTTCATACAAGGCCAGAGATGCTATCTTGGCATCGCCGCGAGCGGCAGTGATACTCGCCACGAGTAGATGGTCGATCACAGCAATAGACGGCGCATTGAGTGCAGCCTCTTGCCACGTGGACAGGTGGTTCGGGTAGCGAGCACGCAAAAGATTGACAGCGGCAGCACATAGATCCTCAATCTCATGATGTGCGGCGAGTTCGTAACAAGCGGCTAGATCACCCAGTGGTAGCCTATCAAGCTTACTATATGAAATCATTATTAGCGTTCTTCGAACAGACATCTGAAACCATAGTGCTCACCGTTCCCCTAGAATCCATTCTAGCATAACCTCGACATGGTGAGGTTGATCAAGTATGGTGACAATCGGGATGGCAGAGCCCGGCACTGTATCAAAGGACCCATTAGATAGCCTGTTTTTCAAACACGGAGAATGGCGCTCGAGTAGACCTCGATAGATCCGCGCTACCGACTGTCCAGCGATGACGAAGCAGTTACCGTCCTCGAACCAGATAGAAGAGCGAGGACACTGCAGAGATGTGGCAGTTGGCGCCTCGACCTCTTGTTCGGCGTCAATACTATCGGTGTCGTGCCTCGCAGAGCCCTCTGCGCCGGCACCAATGTCAACCAGGGCCCCGCGTTGCTAATGCTAGCCGACGCACCATTCACGAGACCGTCATGGTTGGTCGGTTCAACCTTCGGCTTCACCTCGTCGCGCTGAGGAGTAGTCATAGCTGGGGTCGTAACTGTACTAGGTCGAGCGTCGCCGTCGTCTGTCCGCTGGCGCTTGCGCGCTCGTTCTGTAGGTTGTGCTACCGCAGGAGAAGCCATGAGGACAGCTACAACAGGGTCAGTGTGGCGAAGAATGGCGCATGCTAGCAACGCACGCACGTAGTAGCAAAGCACAGTGAGAGGCGAAAGGCGCTAGCAGTGGCACGTCGTCAGCTGTCGTGTGCGTGTGTTGAATGA